CCTCGGCTCGGCGCTGCAGGCTCTGCAGGCGCCCGCCACGCCCCGCATCGACATCTCGCGCGCCTCCTCCAGCTCGCACCCCGACTCCAACAGCCGCGACTCCAGCCCCGAGCGGGAGCTCTTCGCAGGTACGCCCTCCCTTCAACCAAAGAGTAAACGGGGGTTGAGTGAACAATTCATGTGGAGACGTAGATTAACGAATGTATAAATGAAAAATAAATGAAGAAATCAATGAATGAGTAAACGAATGAGTAAACAAATGATTAAACGAATGATTAAACTAATTATTAACGAATGATTAAACGAACGAGTAATCAAATGAGTTGACGAACTAGTAGAGAAACGAGTAGACGAACGAGTAGACGAACGGGTAGACGAACGGGTAGACGAACGGGTAGACGAACGGGTAGACGAACGAGTAGACGAACGAGTAGACGAACGAGTAGACGAACGAGTAGACGAACGAGTAGACGAGCGAGTAGACGAGCGAGTAGACGAGCGAGTAGACGAGCGAGTAGACGAGCGAGTAGACGAACGAGTAGACGAGCGAGTAGACGAGCGAGTAGACGAACGAGTAGGCGAACGAGTAGGCGAACGAGTAGGCGAACGAGTAGGCGAACGAGAAAACGAACGAATGAATTAAGGAGTAATGGAATAGATTATGAATTAATGATTTCATTAATGTCTGAAGTTTAATTGATGAACACGAGAAGTGTGATAAACAATGACAGAGTAAATGAATGACAATTGGGGGGGGGGTTAATGAAGGAGGAAAGAAGTGAATTATTTGGTAGAAGAAAGGAATGTGCCTTTAAGGGACTGTCAATGATTAGATATTGAAGACGTGAGTGAATAATTTGAAATTGTATTAATGATTCTGTACCTGGGGAATAGCAATGCTGATATGTTAGAGCGAGAATAAATATTTAAATTTAAGGAACAATAATTGAATAATGTTGAGAAATGGTAATGGATGAAAGAGTCGTTTCATAACTACTGAGTGATAGAAAAAGGAAAGTAGGAAATGTACAGTTATTCTGTAAGAATATGACAGGAAGAGGATAGGGAATTGTGATGATAAAAAGTAGAATTCAAGGAGCATTAAAATATAATTAAATCCAGAAATGAGAGAGAGAAACAGAAAGAGACAGAGAGAGATAATAAATGCAGAAAGAGAATGGAGAGTCATTGAAGTATAGAATTGTTGTATGAATTAAGGTTAATTGAAAAGTTATCAAAAAAAGAACTAAGAAAGCTTAAATGTATATTTGGAAAAAAACGAATGAAAGAATGTAGGAACATCAATGAACGGTTAATTGAAAAAAATGTAAAAACGTTTAATCACTTAGAAGTGTGTGAGTGAGTTAACATGGAGAGAACGAAAGTTGTGGTAAATATGTTTTTCAGAGAACATAGAATTGGTAGTGGGAACAGTTAGAAATGGAGTGAATGAATGAATTTATGCAAGTGTAATAAATTAATAAGTGAGTATTCACGTATTGCTACTATTTATTATACAATGTACACTTTCTGCAAAATTCTAAATGATTGAGTTTACGAAGACGAGTTCATGAATTTAGATCAGGTGTTCGAAATGAGATATTGACCCTTTGCGGGTGGATGAAGTTTTAAAGTCATTCAATTACGATTAAGTCGGCTGAGGTCAATGGTGAAATACGAACAGAATGCTGATAGGTTTATCGATATCCCATGGATTACGGAAAAAATAATGAAGTTGAAAATACTTTCTGATATGAAGCTCCAACATTTCTAATAAAATTATTATAATTAGATCATTTTTCATCCATTATTTATCGTTATTATGTTTAGAACACTAGAGAAATTATATTTTTTATGAACAACGTAACCCTATCACAAAGGACAGGCTTATGAGCAGAATTCCAAAAAAAATCATTATGGTCAGTTCTGCAAAACGCTCTATGTAGCCTGCATTTTGGAGTAGTTACGCAATAAAAATGATACGTCCTTGCTCGTAGGATTGCTTCACTTGGCCTGCCGACCTTGCGTCACAACTTTCGTGTGGTGACCAAATATCTTACATTCAGAATAAAAAGCCACTTTTCCCACTCGGGTCATAAATAGCTATAACATTAGGCGTAAATAAAAGATGCTTTATGTCTGTGTAGCCCCACAGCCCTGGAGAGGAGCCGCGCGCGCGCCTGTGATAACGAAAGAGTGGCTGTGTGCGCAGGGGACGCGAGCGCCGGCGGCGCGCGCCTGGCCGCGGGCTTCCGCGAAGACGCCGCCGACCTGCGCTCCTCCACCGAGGAGCTGGACTTCCTGGAGGGGCCCGGCGCGGCCAAGGCGCGCGACCTGCGGCGCCGCCGCGAGCGCAAGCAGGCCCACGCGCAGGTACTCGCTCACTCACTCACTCACTCACTACCACTCTCGCTCACTCCTATCCGCGTTCATTTCGTGCCCCTCACTCACCCACTCAATCTTTCACTATCTCAATCACTCACTCGCTCATTCACTTATTCACTCACATACTCGTTCACACACATTCACTTATTCAGACACTCATTTACACACTCCATCGCTCATTTACTCACTCAATCATTCATTCACTCCTTTATCCACTCACTCATTAACTTACTGACCCATTCATTCACTTATTCATTCACTTACTCATTCATTCGCTCACTCATTCCTCCAATTACTCATTCATTCACTTACTCATGCATTCTCTTACTCATACATTCACTTACTCGCTCACTCACTCATTCACTCACTCACTCATTCACTCACTCATTCATTCACTCACTCACTCACTCATTCACTCACTCATTCACTCACTCATTCACTCATTCACACACTCATTCAATCATTCACTCACTCGTTAACTTATTCATTCACATACATTCATTCACAGACGCGCAGACATACACTAATGTACACGCTGACTTATTCACTCTATCTCTCATTCACTCAATAATTCACCTCTCAATCACTCACTCGATTATTCACTCATTCGATAATTCATTCACTCGATCATCCAGTCACTCGATCATTCATTCACAGATGATTCACTCACTTAATCATTCCACTCACTCGATCATTCCCTCACTTATTCATTCCACTCACTCATTCATTCCTACTAATGAGTTTCAGATGTAATAGCCAGAAATTATTTCTAGTGTTGGGCCGGGAGTGCGTGAATGTGTGTGGTGTGCGCAGGCGCAGGCGCTGAAGGAGGCGCACGCGGACGGGACGCAGAGCGAGCGCGGGGGCGTGGGCGGCGCGCTGGAGCGCAAGGACTCGTCGGGCAGCGCCCTCTCCGCGGGCGATGCGGCCGGGCTCCTCGGTGAGCGCTCGCGCGGTCCGGGCGCCCTGGCACGACTGGCACTCGGCTTGGCTTGGCTGGGCTCGGCTGGCTGGGCTCGGCTGGCTGGGTTCGGCTGGCTGGGCTCGGCTGGCTGGGCTCGGCTGGCTGGGCTCGGCTGGCTTTATAAAATTACGAGATCACTTTTATCATATGTCCCACTTATTTTTATTCGTTATTTTATGTTAGAAACAGCTAGAGAAATTAATATTTTTATGAACAACGTAATCTAATCAACAAAGGTAAGGCTTATGAGCAGAATTTCATACAAAATAAATTCCATTATGTCAGTATCTTGCCTAATATCGCTCATTATGTAGCCTGCATTTTGGAGTAGCTTACGCAAATAGCAAAATGTTACTGTCTTGCTACCGTGAGCTGTAAAGGGATTTGCTAATATCACTATGGCTGTACGACCTGCCAGACCCCCCGACCTTGCGTCAACAACATCTCAGCTGTGGTGTCACCAAATATGTGCACATTCAGGTGGAGATAAAAAGCCACACTTTTACCAATCGGAATCATAAATGCTTATAATCATTAGGCTAAATAGAAAAGCATGACTTATGTCTTGTGTAGCCCCACAGCCCTGAGAGGAGCTGCGCCGCATCTGCGCCTGTGATATACGAAATGAGTGGCTGTCAGCGCAGGGAGAGCGCGAGCGCGCCGGCGGCGCGCGCCTGGCGCGGCTATACCGCGAAGACCCGCCGACCTGGCTCCTCACCGGAGGAGCTGAACATCACATCGATCGGGCACGCATCTGTGGGAGAGCGCCCAGGCGCGCGATCCCTCGGCGCCGTCCGCAGGCGCTCAAAGCAGGCTACACCGGCAGGTACCGCTCACTCACTCACTCACTTCCACTACCAACTTCTCGCTCACTCCTATCGCGCGTTCAATTTCGTGCCCTCTAACATGACCCACTCATCTTTCACTGATCTCATCCCTGCACTCAGCTCAGTCACGTTATTCACATCACATACTCGTTCGACATAACACATATCATTTCTCATTTTCTCAGTACACTCATTTACACACTCCATCGCTCATATTACTCACTCAACATTCATATCACAGTTTCTTACTCTCACTACACTCTCTACTTTACTTGACCCCGAGGGTTAATCACTCACTTATTCATTCACTACTCATTCTCATTCGCTCACTCATTTCCTCAATTACTCATTCATCTCACTTACTGATGCAAATTTTCTCATACTCACAATCACATTCACCTTACTCCCTCACTCACTCATTCACTCACTCACTCATCTCACTCACTCACTCAATTCACTCACTCACGCAACTTTCACTATAATCACAACATCACGTATCACATGGTCACACTCACTTCAGCTGATTACTCTCACTTCATTGTTCACCTCTCACTCATTCCATTCACTCACTCTATGTCATCTCACTAGCATCAGTCAATTCACACACCGGGAGCGTCACAGATTAACACCATACACTAACTTCACTTCCACTCACTCATTCACTCAATCACCTACATAGTACATCCTTACTCACCTCACCTCACTTCACTCTACTCACAATCACTTTCATGATCATTAGCCATCACGTTCAATTGACTCCCTAAAGTACTCACGTCCTAAACTCACATCATCACTCACCTCATATCATAGGTCACGAGGTTCATGTTCAGCTCTTAGAATCAACACTCATTTCACTCTTTACACTGCCGTCAATATTTCATCAGTCACTCACTCACTCACATCATTCAACTCACTTCATTCACCCAGCATATCACTCATTCACTCATTCACACACTCATTCAATCATTCACTCATCACTGAGTTCGTTGTAACTTTCTCATATCACATTGCATTCTATTTATCACTTAACGCTGCAGCACATCAATTCACTAATGGTTAAGCCTAGCCTCATTCACTCTATTTCTCATCATCAACGCTTCAAATAATCTCACCCTTCAATCATCACTCGATTTATTCACTCATTCGATAAAATTCGAAGAAGAAATGGAGATCATAGCTCAGCATCACACGAGCAATACATCTCACAATAGATCTCACTCACCTTAATCATGTCATCTCACTCGATCATCCCTCCACGTTATTCATCTCCACACACTAACTCTATGCTTCGATTTTTCTTCTTTTCATCAATTCATTCCTACTAATGGAGTTTGAGTATGATAATAGCCCAGTTAATTTTCTCTAGTGTATGGGTGGGGGTGCTCCGTGGGGAGTGTGTGATGGTGTGCGTATTGTACTCAATGTGCGCAGGAGCTCATGGAAGGGAGGCGCAACAGCGGACGGCCGACGCAGCGAGCGGCGGGAGGAGTGGCACAGCGCGCGCTGTGACGCGTGCACGGACTACGTCGACGGGCAGCGACCCGCACTACCTGCGGGCGGATGTGACGGCACGGGCTCTACTCGTGAGCCGCGATCTTCGCGCGGTCCGGTGCGCCTTGAGGACACGATCTGGTATTGGCTCCCCAAGAATAGCATAAGTCCTTTGCCGGCGTTCCGACCCTTGTTTTTTTATTTGTATTCTCTTGGATGTGTGTTGTTTAGGGGCGGGCTAGGCTGAGCTTCGGGACTCTGGCTGGCTGGGGTGTCTCAGTGCTGGCTGGGCATCTGAGCTAAGCTTGAGGCTCTCGATGCTGGGCTGGCTCGGCCTGGCTGGGCTGGCTGCTGCGCTCGGCATGGCTGGACTCGTCTGGCTAGGGCTCGGCTGCGCTGGAAGATCGGATGGCTGGACCGGCTGGTAGTCTGCGATGAGCTGGCCATACGGCCTTGGCTAGCACGGCTGGACCTGTGAGTTCGGCTTGGCCTT